GGATCTGCTGGTTGCTTCTAGCATGCACTTGGTTTTTCCTTTCAAAAGAGTCCGTTGAAAAAAGGACATGAGCATGAACAGTGCCAGGAAATCCAGGAAGGGCTTCTCAGGGCTGCATGTACAGTTCCTGCCACCAGGCGGCGGCAGAGCCCAGCAGTTACAAATGCCCCACGCGGAGGCTAGCTGCCTGCGTTTGAACCCTGACTCGTCTACCTAGATGAGTGACTTCAGGCAAGTCACTTGTCTCCATGTGCCTCGGTTTCCCCCTCCACAAAATGGGCAGAACCATAACACCTACCTCACGAAGTTGTTTTGAGGATCAAATGAGATTATACATAAAGCGCTTAGCAGTGGTGCTCATAAGCACACACCCAATAAATGTTAGGTTTTCTTTTATTATCACAATCATTCTGTTAGAATACCAAAGGATTATCCACAGTGATCCATTGTTCTAGAGAATTTTTATTGAAAACAGATGAAAAGGTCACCAGCTGGGGTCCTAGATACCTTTTGGTTATTCAAAGATCCTTCATAATTAACCTTTATGATATTTTATTCATAAAAGAGTTACTGCTGAAATGGATTTTGAGGAGGGCAGTGACTTGCTTGTTAGCCCTGGGGCTTTAACAACCTCACCTTCGATCAAAAGATGGGGTTCTGGGTACCGGAGAGACGCCTTCCCACCACTCTGCCACGGCATCCAGCAGCCACTGACAGACTTGTGGTGCTGCACTGGGAAAAAAAGATCAGTTTTGTAGCACTTGGCACTTTGCCAATATTAAACAAAAGCTTTATTAAATTATTACTGAACAATTGTGTGTCCCTGAAGTAGCTTCAGATTTATTTATATGCTTTTTTTTTTAAGTCTTGAACACGGAGACATTCAGTTCCTCATACATTCCAAGAAGAGCATTTTGTGAAATTTTCAGATGGAAAATGAAATCTTAGTGGCCATGACCTTCCATAATTTTGCTGGGATCCACCCTTGTTTTTCCAGCTGTACCTGAGGTGAAGTTCCTGTGCGGGGCAGACATCCTGAAGAGCTTCCAGACTCCCAACCTCTGGAAAGACTCAGACATTGAGGAAATAGTGAAGAAGTTTGGCATGGTGTGCGTGAGCCGGACAGGTTATGACCCCGAGGGGTACATCTCGAGCTCGCCCATCCTGCAGAGGTACCAGCGCAACATTCACCTGGCCAGAGAGCCCGTGCAGAACGACATCAGTGCCACGTACATCAGACAGGCCTTGCGCCAAGGGCAGAGTGTGAAGTATCTGCTCCCAGACGCCGTCATCGCCTACATCAGGGACCACAACCTCTACATGAGGGACCCTTCCTTGACAGGCAATCGCAGCATGCCGAGGAATGAAGGGAAAACGAGCTGGGGAGGGCCATCCACGTCTCCTCTGAGCCCCTCCTGAGAAGAGGGTAGTTAAGGGCTTTCTTTTTACTTTTTGCTTTTCCAGTTTTCATTTGTTTTATTTCTACAGTGATTTTACTTCTTAGGAGAGTTCTGTCCCTGGAAGAAATACCTTCTTTTGCAAGGAGCAGGTGTCTCCATCACAAGGATGTGCATTTATAAAAGAAGTTAAAATGGGGTGGCAGGTCAGTAGGATTTGGCACCATCTCCCAGAACCTCTGGATGAAGAGGCCTTCTTTTTTGTAAATG